AGAATGAAATGATCAATTGGAAGCATTAATCAACACAAATCATTGTAAAAACAAGATTCATATATAAATCAAGTGTCAAGACAAGATTACAACACAAATCCCCTCAAAATACAAAGCATTAAGGTCTAAAAGGCATGCTTAGGGCTAACTTTAGCCCCAAGAAGATGTTTAGCCACTCATTGATGTATTCATCCAACCCTCAAAGAGCCATCTCTATGGTAGAAATGCTCTTCTCCTTAATGGAAACCTTAGAAGAATGGAAGAACTCCCAAAATAGTATATGTCTCTCTAAGCTCTAGCCTCCTCCCCAAGATATGTGATATATTATTCTCAATTATGTTGAGATATGAAAATATATGAGATATGATGCAAAAATGGCTCAAAAACCTTATATAGGAAGCTCAAGTGTCACACCCAATGGTCAAGTCTCGTGCACTAGGGTCCCTTCAATGATTGCACCACGAGCCATCTTTTAATGAGCTGGACTCTGTTTTATTTCGAACTTGAGAAGGTTCGATCGATCAAATTCAGATGAGATCGATCGAACTGTGGCCAGATCCATCGGATTAAGGCCAGATCGATCAATCCATGGCAGCGCCTTTTCGAAATAAGACAAATCTGAGATATTTTTGGGATATTTTGGGAAAAAGACAAAAGTGGTATGTGGGGATAAGATCAAGAAAGTTCGATCAATCTAAATAAAGTTGGATCGATCGAAGATGGAATTTCTTGAGGATAAGGACAAGGGGTTCTGATCCATCTTGGTGAAGTGAGATCGATCAATGTAGATCGATTGAAAATATTCCTGATCGATCGAAGATTACTGATTTCCACCACTTTTCTTCCACTTTGCTCCATTCTTCCATTCAGCTTGAGATTGCTTCTTTTATACTCTAATTTGGCTAAATTGACTTATTTGTGGGATAAGCATCTAAAAGGTGCAATAACATGAAATTAGTCTAAAATGAAAAAGTAAGATAGATAAAAGTCCTAGAATACTTGAGCTTAAGGGGTTTAAATGCGCACTTTTCAGCGCTAATCAAGCCACATTTCGGCCTACTGGTATGGGTCTTCAGTCGATCGGTTTGCCTGCAGGTTGTCCAGTCTGGTTTGACTGCTTGCCATTGTATGTTAGGAACTTTTATCACTTCCTTTATATGCTTTGACCTTGCATAAGCCATTTTTTGGTGTTTACGACCTAGTTAATCTAGTTCATGTTTTCCTTGAGTGTCATCGGTGCCTGGAGGTACCATTTGACCATTATGACCTTAGCTTCCGTATTTCAGATCCGTTATTAGGTCGTGCTTCACACCACTACAGTTGATGCACCGGATTCTATGAATTTGGGGCATCACATCTCTATAGAAGGATTACTGGTAGATCAAATAACACTCTGCGAATGCTTTGATCCCTTCAAAGTGTGATCGCTCCACCTATTTCTATAAATTAGAATTTATTGAAGATAAAACAAACTTTAGTTTTTTCTTTGAACAGTATCAATGGATCTTCAATGATTCAGCTTTTGAACAGATAGAGAAGAACATCATCAATCACTCGTGTGTACAGTATGTGTGCTCTCAAGGTGAAAAAATAAACACTAAAAAAATCTCAAAATTTTAGCTCTCAAAATAATGCAAAATTTTGTATGCAAGAGCTGTAGAAAACCCTAAGTGAGAAAAGATGTTTATATAGATTTTTAAAAACATAAAATTAGTTGGAAAATAAGTTTAATTCGTACATAAAAGTCTCCCAAAAATCTAATAAAAAAGGAAACTCAAAAAGAATAGAATTGCAACTTTTGTTTTAGGTTTACAAGAGCGCAACCAGTTATGTGGGACGCGACCGATTTCGCTTGCCTAGTGAGTTTTTCATGTTAAAATAATTTTGTAACCCAAATAGCACAACCGGTTCCGTGCATACGATTGATTCCACTGGGATAGAAAGATTTTCTTTAAAACCGAAATTAGGTAACAATGACAGAAATCGGTTGCATAACACATAACCGGTTCCGGTGTAGCAATGAAATTTTTCCCTGTTAACAAAATTTGGGAAACAAAATATTGCCACTACCAAAACTCCTTAAAAGTAAAAATTACGTGACCTCACCAACATACTTTTTCTAACGTGATGTTTCAAAATTAAACGCATATTGGTTGCACGTATTGTTCCGTTTCCAACATCAAGACACAAAAATTAAACAAAACATTATAACTCGATCAAACACATTTTGACATCAAAATTTACTAATTATAAAATTAATACCTCACAATTTTGAGAGTTGTAATATGCCGTAGCATGCAATACATTAAACTGAGGTATATAATCATTACTTCGAAACTTGAAATAATGAGGTTGCACCTAGATTTAATATTTTGTAATTAAAGTTACAATATGGTTATTTCAAGGCTTACAACACCATTATTTGAAGAGTTGAAATAATAGCGTCTCACTTCGATATGTTGTGCGTGTAAAACACACAACAATGTAAAAAATGTACCAGAGAGGATCTTAGATCTCTCTTACTAAACATGTAGTAAAGCCACAATATTTAGTAGAGAGTTAGCTTTAAGTCAACTTCTTTATATAGCCGCTTTTATCAATAGAGTAGTCAAAAAATTGCGGTCAGTAATAAACATGTTGGTGTTTAGTGACACAATATAATAAGAATTTTTCACAATTAAATTATTTTTTATTTATTTGGTAACATTTTTTTTTTTAAAACACTTCTATTACTAATTTTTCAATAATATCCATTAATATGACATTACCATATTTGATAATAGTAACTTTATTAAGAAGGGGTGTAATTGTCTTTATAAAAAATAAAAAGCACAAAATTGTCTAATGAAAAAATGTTACCTAAACTATACAACCTCTACTCAGAACACACTTTTAAAAGTTCCAAATTCTAACTTAATTCAAAAGCTCTACTGAACTAAATATTTTTAAAATACAAAAGTTTTTAAGTTGATGAGATGCAATCCCAAACGGGCTCTAGGTTGAATGCAACAAAAGTTAGATGGGGACTATGATACTGGTCTTATGGAAGGGGCTAAACATGGGTAGCAACTGAGATCCTCGACATAGTTGATATAAATAAAGGGAGTGGGTTTGAACAAGGCTTTGTTTTAAAAGGTAGTGGTTGTAAGGGTGGTGATATAGTTGCTGTTGAGGGTGATCATTCACACCAAAAGCTTATTGATGTGAATAAGAGTAGAGTTAAGAAAAAAGGCTTTATGTTCCTCTATTTGATAGGGTTACTAGAGGTAAACAAAATGGTGGCGGAATGACACCAAATTCCTATTCTTTATGCTTAGAGCTTCAAATTTTAGAGGTCTAAACATACCTAGCATGCAAAAAGTGGTCAAAGCATGGATTAGTGAGAATAAATTTGCCTTCGTGGTTTTGGTGGAGACTAAGGTGTGCTAGATGGAAATGGTTAACTAACTATGACTCTAATCCTTTAGGGAAGATTTGGGTGGCTTGGGATCCTAATATTTTTAAGGTTCACTTGGTTATTGAGGATGCTCAAGTGTTGTTATTGGAAGTGAAGCATGTCCCTGCAGGTTTAACTGTGTTTATTTCAGCTATTTATGCCGTAAATAATGTTCAAGACAGAAGGAAATTGTGGTTGAATTTGAAAGATCATGCTGCTGTAATTGAGGGGCCATGGTTGGCTATTGGTGATTGGAATATTTCTAGGTTTCATAAAGAGAAAGTTGGGGGGCTGAGAGTACCTCAATCTCTTCTTGATCGATTTAATCAAGTCATTAAAGATATCAAAATGGACGAGTTACCTGTTAACAATGGAGGGTGATGTTGGTGCAACAAACAAGATAGTCATAAAAGGATTAATATGAAGCTTGATAAAGTTCTTATTAATGAGGATTGGCTTCATTGGTTCACTGATTCCAGAGTCTGTTACACTCCAGCTTCCCTGTCAGATCATTATGGGATGGCAGTGAAGTGGCATATGGACTGTGCTTCAGGACCAAAGCCTTTTAAGTTTCTGAAAATCTGATGTATCCAGTAAGAGGTTGAGGAGATTATTTTCAAGGCTTGGGGAGATTTAGTTGGAGGAAACCCTTTACACCAGTTACAAAAAAAGTTGAGATCAGTTAAAAATGCTATCAAAGAGTGGAATAAAAACAAAGGCAAACTTCCTGAATAGGTTATCTTAGCTACTGAAGGGCTGCATTTTGTCAAGATGGAATTGTTGAAGGATCCATTGAACCAAAATCTGATTTCTAAGGAGAGAGAAGCCATTTTATAGTTACAATCTACCCTGGAATTGGAAGAAATCAAGTGGACCCAAAAGTCTAGATTGAAATGGCTTAAAGAAGGTGACAAGTGTACTTCTTTTTTTCATAACATGGTTCAGTAGAGAAGATGTTATAATTCCATTTATTATTTACAAAATGCTGAGGGTGAGACCTCTTCAGATCCTACAATCATAAAAGAATGGTTAGTTCAATATTATGAAAATTTGTATGCAGCTATTCCTGGTGTTGAGACAGAGTTATCCCCTCCTAGAAGAGTCCTCTCAGATGTTGATAAGCAGGGATTGGATAGTGAGGTTACTGTAGAGGAGATTAAAAATGTGGTCATGGGGTTTAGTCCAGATAAATCTCCAGGCCTGGATGGCTTTCCTGCTAGATTTTTTCAAAAATATTGGCATATTGTTGGTAATGATCTCATTACTGCAATTGTTTATTTCTTTATTGGGGCTGCTCTGCCTTCAGGGATCAATTCCACTTTTTTAACCCTTATTCCAAAGACGAATCATGGGGATAAGATGGAAAACTATAGACCTATTGCTCTTTGAAACTTATGTTATAAAATCATTTCTAAAATTCTGGCAAATAGATTGAGTATAATTCTGCCTAACTTGGTTGGATTGGAACAATAAGCTTTCATTAAAGGTAGAAGAATATATGATAATATTCTGTTAGTGACTGATTTGATAAAAAAACTTTGGATTAAAAAGTAGTGGACTTGCTATGGCCATTAAGGTGGATCTTAAAAAGGCTTATGATTCAGTCAGTTGGAATTTTTTGCACCAGAGTATGAAGCTGTATGGTTTTACTGAGAGATGGTGTAATTGGATTTAAACTGTGTGTCTACAGCAAGATATTTAGTTTTGTGTAATGGAGTTCCAACTGGTTTCTTTTCATCTGGGAGGGGATTGAGACAGGGTTATCCATTATCCCCACTTCTTTTTATTCTCATTATAGATTATTTCTCTACTTTGATGTATGAAAAAATTGCTGGCGGTCAATTAAAGGTTTGTAAAATGGTGCAAAAGTTTGGGTTTTTGGTTTTACATGCTTTTTAAGCAGATGATTTGCTCATTGTGGTTAAGGCAGACATTTTTACTGCTAAATCTATTGATAGGGTGTTTCAAAAGTTTCATGAAGTGTCAGGTCTGGCTATGAATAAGGAGAAGAGTGCTGTTATTTTTTCAAAGTCTGCGAGGAGTAAAAGGAGATTACTTCAGGTTTTGCAGGTGAAAGTGGAGTCCTTTCTTATTAAATATTTGGGGATTCCATTAGTTAACATAGGCTTAAGAAGTGTTGATTGTAAGGAGATTTTTGATAAAGCTACTGCTAGATTGGAGCATTGGAATATAATTATTCTTTCTCTTGCGGGGAGAATAGAACTTCTCAGGTCTGTTCTATATTCTTTTCTACTAGATGCTAATAAGATGTCACAATTAAAATGGAGTCAAGTAACATTACTATACGCAGAAGGAGGGTTTAATCTTTGTAGGATTATTGATGTTGATTTTGCAGCTAAAGCTGTTATTTGTTGGGATTTTGTGAAGAATTAGGAAGCCTTGTGGATTAAGTGGTTGCATGTCAGGTATTTATAACAGGGAAATTTTCGGACTATTCAGCCTAAAGAATAAGATTCCTCTATTAGGAAACAAATATTAGACACTAGAGTTCATACAAGAAAATGTAGAATTCAGGGTTAGAAATGGGACATCATTTAACATGTTATTTGATCATTAGTGTGCAGGGTTGTCCTTAGTTCAGAGATTTGGGGCTGCTCTTTTTAGAAATTATGATAAGATAGCTAGGCTAAACACTTTAATTATTGATGGAAGCTGGTCATTTCCTCAATTCTTCCCAGCGTCTGCTGTCAACTTCATGGCTAACACTTTAATTGTTGTGGTGAAGTCTGAACAAGATGCTATTGAATGGTCTCATGGAAGATTTACGTTGTCCTAAGTTGCCTTAAGGAATGTTTGCCTAGTAATGTCAAAAAGTATTGCTTCAACCTCAGCCTCGGACAGAGATGCTTCAGCCTCAGAAAATGAAGGTTCAGCAATTATAGGTGCTCGGCCTCAGACAATGAAGGTTCAGCACTTCAGTTTTAGCTACAGCCTCGGCTCTGTCATAGTGCTGAGTAGAGGGCAGTATGGTCTTTTCCAGCTTTGTTGAAGAATGCAACACGTCTCAGTGGTCCTAAAGAAGAATGTGACACGTATTAGTGGTCCTAGAGAGCTAGTTTATGCAAGAATGATTCTTGGAGGCTAAGTTTGGACAAAAATGGAATTCAGTACTCAAACTTGTAACTTGCTGTAGCTGGAAGAATAGTGACGAAATTAGCTGAGGTGGCAGGCCTGCATTGGTCCATTGCTCTGAAAATATTTGAATTGTGCTCTCCCAATCATTGGTGAAAGGTGACAAGTGTATATCCGTGGTGTGTGAGGCCTTGTGAAATTGAGAGTTACTATAAATATGCTGCAATAAGGCTTCTTAGGGTTTAAGCCTTTGAAATTTACATTGCACATTGAGCTGCTCATGAGAACCCTCAAGTACACTATGTCAAGCAAGTTTTTCTCTGCTATTTGATGATGATCCATGCAAGAAAAACTCATTGAATTAACTCTGAGGTGTGCTCTATTTGCTGAGATGAGGCCGCTGTCAAATTTGCTAATGCAAGGGTTGTATTGAAGAGTAACTTGGTGTTTCAAGCTTCTGTGGTTGATTCTGAAGGTTGACATAGGTATAATTCATCTTCTCACACTTGTTCAGACTGTGTTTGTGTTGAGATTATGCTGAAAATGAATTCGGATAGTGTGGTCAGTAATTAAGCTTGTTTTTTTAAAGAAATCTTGGATTCAAGTGCTATTTGATTATACTTAGCTATTTTATGATGATCTATGCTGTTAGCTAGTATATTTTGATAAATCGAGATTGTCAAAGTTGAGTTAGTAGCAAAAATATGGTATGCTTTGTTTTTGAGTATTCTGTGCTGAAGATATTTTGTGCCGAAGCTGTTATATGTTGAACCAAGGACTTTGATTGAACTTATGATATACTCATGCTATGTTTGATTATACAAAGCTATGAACATGAGTACAACAGTGAAAGAAGATTGTATGATGCGCTGGTGAATTGATCTAAAAAAGAATTTCCTATTTTACCCTTCTGATTCTTGATGCAGCAGATTGCAGTACTGAGGCAGTAAATTGGAATTTTGCGTTGTCCATCTTATTTGAATTATATTTGGTGTGTTAATACTTGTTATAAATGGTAGTGAGGTATGATCCCTCACCCCATTGTTGAGTAACAGTGAGGCTTTACATCCTCACCCCATTGTTGAGTGAGCTTTAAGAGCTTATTGGGTCCAAGCGTGGTTGCTTCGGACAGAGGGAGTGCGTGGATGCACTGTGGTGTCCTAGTGTGTATGTATTGGTTATGAAAACTAGTGTCTGTTCTGGTGCATGGGTGTGTGCAGAGAGTGAGACAGCTGAGTGTGTAACAAGATACATACAACTAGTGGATTGCTTATTAGCCGAGGCCAAGAACCAAGGTTTTCCCTATTTAAGAGGGTTTCCTTGTAAATCTTGTGTTATCTGTTCTTTGAATGCTTGCTTAGTTGTGTGAGAAAGTGTTTTTTTTTTTTTTTTTTTTTTTTTTTAAAGCAAAGATTTAACCAATTCACCCCCCTCTTGATTCAATAATTGGTATCAGAGCTTTGGTTTGCATTGTGAGGTTCTAACGAGCCTGTAGTTGATCCCAGTAGTAGATAAAGGTTAAGTTATCAACAAAGCTTTGAAGGTTCAAATTATGATTCTTGGAAAACTAGAATGGAAGCCTTGTTAATGTCTCAGTCCTATGATGTTTGGCATGCTACCGTACATGGTGTTGTGATTCTTAACCTCTCTACTGAAGATAAATTAGCTGTGGCTAATGATGGCAAGGTTAAATATGTTATCTTCTGTGTTTTGAGGCAACAAGAGTTTACCAGAGTTAAAAATTGTAAAATAGCCAAGGAAATGTGGGATTCTCTTCAGGTAACTCATGAAGGGAATAAGGTTATTAAGGAGAACAAGATATAGCTATTTAAAGTTCAGTATGAGGTGTGTAAGATGGAAGATAGAGAAACTGTTGCTGAGTATATGTTCAGGATCAATGACCTTGTCAACAATATGAGAGCACTTGGTGAAGATATTAAGGATGTTGATGTTTGTAAGAAGAAACTAAGGTCACTCACCTCTAGATTCAATCCTAAAGTTACAATTCTCGAAGACAAAGATCTTTCTAAAGTGAAGATTGACGAGCTTCAAGCCTCTCTCACTGCCTATGAAATGAGAATTGGTGTTCCAGCTGTTCATAGAAGGGAAGTTGTTCTTAAAGCAAACGAAATTGTTAAAGAAACTAAAGCAAAGTCTGAAGATGAGGTTGCCTATCTTGCTAAGAAATTCAAAAAGTTCAGGTTTAAAAAGAAGAATCAGCTGTAAAATTTAACTTGCTATGGTTATGGTAAACCTAGTCATGTTGCATCTAAGTGTCCGAACTTAAAGGGGCAGAGTCAGAAGAAGAATGAGGGAGGAAACTACAAAGGAATGTTTGACAGAAAAGCACTTATCTCAGACTGGGATGCAGCTCCTGAAGAAGAAAAACCTGAGGAGGCACAAGAAGATGAATGTCTCTTTATGGCAATTCTTGAAGCACCACAAACTTCTGTTCAATTTAAACAAGATATTGACACTAAGATTGAGGAAATTCTTGAAGAGTGTAAAAGGCTTACAGTGAAGTGTGATCAACAGAAGGCTTAGATAAAAAGGCTCAGCTCAGAATTATTCACGTCCAAACAAATTCTCACTAAACACTTCAAACTTAAACTATTAATGTTGTGTTCAGTTTCTTTTATTTTTCAAAGCCTATTGAAATCTCAAGTCAACACTAAGTGGTTTACCAAGAAGTGTAAAGAAGAACTCTCTCATTCTAGAAGAAAGATCCTTAAAAATGGCTGAGATCTGGAAGCAATCCAGAAAGCAAATTGGGAAGATTGGAATTAGCTATGTGTGTGATTCAGCCACAAAGGTCAATCAAACTCAATCTGTATTTGTCAAAGCCACAACTGGTGAAATGTATGCAAGGTTTCCTATCATAAAGCCTCAGAGGTTCAAGGATGAGTTACTTAATAACACCTGTAGTACTCTAAACTTCAGCAAGAGAAACTTTGTTACCACAGCTATAAAGAACTTTAAGATAACTATAATGTATGTCAAGAAGTCAGACTTAGCTTCAGCTCCAAAGGTCAAGGACAAAGGATCATTGGTGAAGACTAAAATGATCTGGATTCCTAAGAAGCTGAACTCTGTGACTCTTCTTATGTATACAGCCTTTAAAGCTTGTAATACTCAGGACAAATGGTATGTTGATGGTGGATGCTCAAGACACATAACAGGTAATGGTTCCAAATTTAATTCGTTGAAGCAGTTTGATGGTGGAAATGTTATCTTTGGAGATAATCAAAGAGCTAAGATTGTTGGAATTGGTACTGTGAGTAAGTCAGAAGAGTTGGCAGAAATCCGCGAAGTTTTATTGGTTGAAGGACTCAAGCATAATCTCCTAAGTATTAGTCAATTGTGTGATAATGGGAAGGAGGTCTGTTTCAATAAAGAAAGATGTAATGTGATTGATCTTGAATCAAAACAAGTTTTGTTCTCAGCTAATAGATCTTCAGGAAATGTGTACACAGTCACTGAAGAAAGTCAGGTCACTCAATGTAATTTAACAACCTGTAATGAAGCAAAGTTGTGGCACAAGAGGCTAGGTCATCTTCATTCAAGAAATATGTCCAAGATTCTGAAGCTGAAAGCTGTTAAAGGACTGCCTGACATTAGTTTTAAAGATGATCACCTTTGTAAAGCATGTCAACAAGGAAAGCAAACCAATGTGTCATTTCCTTCTAAGGAAATCAACTCTTCAACAGCTCTGGAATTGATACACATGGATCTCTGTGGCCCTACCAGAACCACTAGTGTTGGTGGAAATAAGTATTTCATGCTTCTTATTGATGATTTTAGTAGGATGGTGTGGGTTTACTTCTTGAAAGAAAAATCTGAGGCCATTGCATACTTCATTAAGTTTGTTAATCTTGTTGAAAATGAAAGAAGTAGCACTGTGAAGAGTCTTAGGTCTGATTTTGGCTCAGAATTCATCATAAAGGAGTTTGAGCACTACTGTGATGATAAAGGTATCAAGAAAGAGTTCTCAGCTATTGCTACTCCTCAGCAGAATGGGGTTGTAGAAAGAAAGAAGAGGACAGTTCAGGAATTGGGTAGAACAATGCTTCTTAAAAAAGGTTTAGCAAAGGGTTTTTGGGCTGAAGCTGTGAGTACGGTTGTGCACATCATAAATAGGGTTTTTCTCAGACCTAATTCAACCAAAACACCTTATGAATTGTGGTATGGAAGACCTACAACTGTTCACTACTTCAAGGTGTTTGGCAGCAAGTGTTATATACTGAACCACACTAATAGTTTGGGCAAGTTTGATTCAAAGGCAGATGAAGGCATATTCTTGG